GGGGCCGGGCCTGGAGGGGGGCGTCCACTCTGACGGGCAGCGCCCTGGGAGAGTCCCGCCAGCTTCCACAGACCCCGAGGCGGCCGAGGGACACCAGGGCTGGACACCCGTTTCTCCAAAGACCCTGGACTGGACTCTCGGTTGAGCTCGGCCCTGTTCCTTCCTCCGGCCTCCCCAGCGCCCTCCTCCTCCGCTAACCTGCCCTAAAGACCCAGAGAGGTCACAGCTGGGCCGGGCGCCCCGTGGCCTCAGGTGGGCTCTGAGTGGCCCCTGCCTCCGTGGAGGAGAGAGCCTCCCCCCCGGGGAACACGGGCTCCCCTGTCAGCCCCACCCCATCAGGGCAGGATGCATTTCAGAGAATTGGGCTGGGGACCCTGCTCCGCCCGGTGGTGTCACCTGCCCCAGCCTCCTAGCCTCCTGAAGGGGGTGGGGGGGAGTCCCAGAAGAACCCTCTCCTTCACAGCTCTATAGGGTGGGGTGTGCGGTCTCAGGGAGTCCCCCCCCCCTTTTCACAGATGAACAGGGGAGGCGGCTGGGAGGAGCCGAGTGGACTTATAGGTCAGAAATGGAAATCACATGGAGGGATCTTGCCATTTCCCCGTGCTGGTGACCAGCACGGAACCCCCTGGGTGGGTCCTTCTGGACCTCCAGGCTGCTAGGGGCACAGGGAGAGACCGCTGATGTCCAGGTCCTCAGGGGAGTGGAGGATGGATTAGGAAAAGGAGAATGAGACTCCCCCACACCCAGACTCAAATTAGGGAGACCCCTGGGCTGTCCAGGTGAGCCCAGTGGCAGGCAGGGCGGGGCAACAGAATGACCCCAACTCAACCAGGACCCAGGCAGAGTCACAGTGTGGGGAGAAGGCTGGCCTGGGCCTCGGAGGGGTGGACATGGTGGGTCCAACAGTGCCACCTCGTGGGTGCCAGGGGTGCTGCAAGAGACTGAGCCCGCTCAGCTCTGGGAGGATGGAGGCCTGGGCTCTGTCCCATGAAAGAGTGAGTGCCCCGTGACCGCATCAGTGAAGTGAGGCAGGACACACCACTCGAGGTTTCTCAGCAAACATCTTCATATCCCTTATCTTGACCCCACAGGGCAGCTTCTCACTTCCACTTTATGGGTGAGGAAGTTGGGGACTTGCTCAGTCATCCTCTCATGAGTGGCAATGTTAGGATCCTGCCTGCGGGCCCCCAAATGCCCTTGGCGGCGGCTACTGAGCCAGCACCCGCCCCGTGGCCAGAGATCAGGATCCAGCAAGCACACTGACCTCGGGTGTTCTCCCCCACGTGGCACCCTCTTGAGCCCAGGCAGAGGACCAGGCGGCCAGGCGCCCGCAACAGCGCACTGCCTGCCTTCCTCCACCACCTCTGCCCACTCAGAGCCTCCCACGCCTTTCCACAGTGGCACACCCACAGGCCTCCCTGCACCCCCGGGTGGCTCTGGCCCTCGCCAGGGGTGGGCACAGCTTGAGGAACACATCCGAGGACAGGGCCCCCAGCCAAGTCCAGCCACCGGATGTCTGCTTGCCATCCTTCCGCAGCTTGGCTGCTGCAGAGAGGGCCCTGGGCTGGGGTGGCCGCCCGCCAGGCTCCATTTCCTTAAGAGAAAGAGCTTCTCTGTGTCTGAGGCAGCACCTGGCCCCGCCATGAGTATCTCAGCCCGTCTCAGTCTAGGCCTCTCACGGAGCCCTGGAGCCCTGGGATAGGGTCATGAGTGGCAGTTTGGTCCTCAACTAATAGTACAGGGGAGATCCGGGCCAGGCATTGGCTGAGGCATTGGGGGTGAGGGGGACAGCTCACTCATCTCTGGGCCCCTACCCCAGCCCTCAGCATGATTGATGCTGGGCACACAGCAAGCTCAGAGGGGTCACTACATGAATGACTGAAACCCCAACCTAAGGTATAACTATCACCAACTGCAAAATGACTCATATGAAGGAACACTGGGGAGGGCAATAACCTTGTGGATCATGTTTGCTCCCGTGTCCCCAGTACCCACACAGGCTTCCTGGAGGAGGTGGCAGGCGAATTGGACCTTGAAGGATAAGTAAGAGTTCAATAGCCAGAGGGGGCACAGGTCAGGTGTCCAGGTGGAGGTAACAGGAGCAGAGCAGTGGGATGGGCCTCCAAAGTCTGCACCCGCACCCGCCTGCTGATGCTCACTAGGGGGCCTCAGTCCACTGCGTACGCACATGGAAGGAACCGCATGGTGATCCCCACCCCAAGCTGCACACAAAGGTCAGTTGCACATAGGCGTCAGATTTCCCTGTGAAGGTTAAACAACACAGCTTTTAAAAGGAAACAAGAACATCTTTGTGGCCTGGGAGTGGGCAATGTGTGTTTCTTAAACAGCACACAGAAACACTAACATAAAGGGGGAAATTGAAGAATTGTGCTGTATTAAAATGATGAGCTTCTGTCCATCAAAATATGCCATCACAGGAGGAAAAGGCCACCCAACCACAGAAGACATTTGCAATGCATGCCTTCAATAAAGGACTTGTTTCCAAGTCAATAATAAAAAGAGAAGCCACCACAAGAGGAAAATGGGCAAGATTTTAGAGCAGATACTTCACCAAAGAAGGTATCCAAGGGGCCAGTAAGCATGGGGACATATATTCAGCTACACTAGTCATCAGGCAAATGATAGAGAGCAAAGCCACAATGTAACACTCAGGAACATTCACTCTAATGGCTATGTAGGAAAATGGTAGGCAGTGCCAAGTGTTGGCTGGGGTATGCAGCAACCAGCCCCTGGCACCCGTGGCTTGGATGGCACAACCTCTTTGGAAATCCATTCGGCAGCATCCACCAAAACTGCACATACAAAACTTAGGGTGATTGTTTGCCCTCCTGGGTAGATCCCCAAAAGAGGTGCATACACAAGGCCCCCAACGACATGTTCCAGAATGTTCATGGCCGTGCTGTGCCTGGCAGGACAAATTGGAAGCCACTCCAATGGCTGTTAGCAATAAGTTGGATGGAAAGTATGGAGAACCAGATGGCCGTGAGCACAGTGAGCCACAGCCATGCATGCTCTGGGGGTTCACAGATGTGCTGCCACACATACAAGCACACTTTCGTCGTGATCAAGTTCCTAAATAGGCCACATGAATCTAAGGGGCTTCTGGCATTCTGATGATGCTCTAGTGCAGCAGTTCTCAACCTGTGGGTCGAACGACCCTTTCACAGGGGTCGCCTAAACCATCGGAAAACACATATATAATTGTCTATTGTTTTTGTGATTAATCGCTATGCTTTAATTATGTTCAATTTGTAACAATGAAATTGGGGTCACCACAACATGAGGAACTGTATTAAAGGGTCGCAGCATTAGGAAGGTTGAGAACCACTGCTCTAGTGGATGCACAAGGGGGCCAGAAGTGGAAGGGTGTGCAGAGGACGAGACAGCACCTCTGGCTGGAGGGGTGGGGCGTCAGTAGGCTTCTCTGACGTGGGGAGCATGTTCAGGCCCTCAAGTCACACTGTGCCCAGGCTCCCAGTTTCCCCATCTGCTGCCCTGCCGCCCCGTCTGGACAGGCCCATCTGGGTTTCCGTGGCGCCTGCCTGCTTGCTCACCCCAGTATCGTGCACCGAGATCTCAATCACTGCCAGGCAAATAACAGATGTTGGCCAGGCGGGTGGAGCAGACCTCGTGGGGTTTCTTGTGGCTTCAGATGACAGTTTCCCATGGCAGCCATGTTTGCCAAGCACTGATGCCCACTGCCCACATCGACGCCATCCTGTGTTTCTCTCACAAACCAGCCTGTCACCGTGGCAACTTGCTTCCACCCTTGAGCCTCTATTTTCCCCGAATTGAGGGGGAATGATGGAACCCTCACGGGAAGATGGGGCCACTGGGACACGCTGAAAGTCTTGGACACTCTGTGTGCAAGCCCCTCCCCTCCCTCACCCACCTTTGGTCAGACCCCCTGAGACCCCCCTGAGAGCTGGACAGAGTGTCACCCACCCAGGTCACCTCATTTGTCTCATTTTATCACCTGACTCAAATACCCTCATCACATTCTGTCCTGTGTGGGCACCTGTGTGTGTGAGTGTGTGCATGCACATGTGTGTGGTGGCTCCACCCTGTTGCCTAATCTCCTGGCACCAACTGTGGGCAGTTGCTTTTCCCCGGGGACCTGCATTGTTGATATAGGACCACGTCACCTCCAGAGTGTAGTTCCGCAGTTCCAAGAACTGAGTTAATGGACAACTCTGAGTCACTGCTGCATGGGCCTTCGTTGGGATCCCCTGGGGCCAGTCAGAGCAGGGACTGCCTGACTGTGATAGCCCGGGGTGGGGGACACCTAAGGGGGTAAGATGGCAGGGATGCCATCAGGTTGGGTCAGGGGTGATGGGGAGAGGGGCATGGGGATAAAGCCCAGCCGTTGTTGTTATGTCAGTGGGGCTAAGAAAGTCAGAACTAGAACTTCTGGAACTCACAGGACAGACACTGGGGACAGTCCCACCCACCCACCCATGGGCGGAGGTGACAAACAGCTCTGGCGAGGGATTGCCGGCTCCCACACTTCGCCACAAAGGAAGCAGTGAATTAGACCCAGAAGTCAGCCTGGATCTAGTCCCCCCTCCTCACCGTGTGCAAGCTGCAAGCCTGAGGCTCAGCGAGAAGGGGCTCACCAGAGGTCTGGGGCCCCAGCCCCCTTTCCCAGTCAGTCTGCACTGTGCGCACGCGCATGCGGTTGTGTGCTTTTGCTGACCACGTGAGCTTGTGCAAAGTGCCCCTTGAGCCTAGGAGGCGTGGCCTCTGCAGGGTCCCTTCCCTCTCAAGGTGCCCTTGGAGCCTGCTCCTGGGAGCGCGCTGGAGGGCAGCCACCCCACTGACCTGGATCACGGTGTCCAGCCCCAGCTGGGACCGCTCGGCTGCATCCCCGCTGCCTGGCTCGCTGGAGGCAGAACTCATTGCAGCTGGAGCACAGGATCCAGGAGAAAGCCGGGCTCCAGTCCGGGCGTCTCCTCCCAGGATCCTGGCCAGGACCTCCTTCAGCTCTTGGCCCCACACCTGTGCGGCACCTGCTCCCTGTCCTGGGCTCCCAGCTGCCCCCTCTGGGTTGGGACCTTGTGGGCAACTGAAGCTTAAGTGTTGCTGTGGCAACTAGGACGCTGAAGGCTGGGTTTCCCTGGAAACAGGAGTGCAGGCCTTGTTGCGATGGGGACTAAGGAACGCTGTTGTCGGGAAGCTGTTTCCCTGGGAGACCTGGAGACGCCCTGGGAGAAGCTGTCCACCTGAGCAACCACAATCAGGGAGGGGCCGACCTCTCCCCCTGGCCCCCTCACCTGCGGGGACTCGCCCAGCCTTCTGTTGGCCAGTCACCCTAGGAGGAATCGTGTGCTTGGTAGCCACAAAGCTGTGGAGGTGGCATGCTGACCACCGCTTCCTCCTGATGGAGAACCAAACCGTGACTTCACCCTGATGTTTGGAAAAGAACCTAGAGTTCAACAGTGCACTGGCATGTAGCAGATGAGCAAACTGAGGCCTGGGGAGGGGAAGCCACCTGTTCGAGGACCAAAGGAGACCTTATCTTCCTCGACTTGTGCTTGGTCACGCCTTCTGGAATCTGATTTCCCTCTGGACCCTTCAGGGCACCTGCTCCATGGGCAATGTGCCTCATCCTTGCCACAGGAAGGTCATTTCTGCTCACTCACTGCACCTTCCCAGAGCCACATGAAGGACCAGCAGGGGCACCCAGCCAGTGGCACCCAATCCCCATGGGAGAGGTGAAGGGAGAGAGGCAGGGCCATTCGTCAGGGCAGAGAGAGAAGTCTGTCCCTCCCTGCCTGGCCTTCTGGGGCCTCCGGACTGAGTGTGGCAACAGACGTTCAGCCAGGCCAGTGTCCCACCCCACCTGTCTCCCCTCGGGGCCTTGTTCCAAGCTGGACCTACCCCAGCTGGGCTGATGCCGACGGGAGTCCCTGTTGGGATGGGGTGGCGCTGGAGTAGGCCCTAAAGCCAGAAGTGACTATCCCTCTGATGAGAGGAGGCCATTTGGGGGCCCCGGGGATGGGTGTGTCCCTCTGAGGCCACCAGGATGGACACAGCGGGTGAGCATACCTGTGCCCAGTGCTACAGGAGGTGGGGCAGCCTGAGGGGCCGGGGCACTCTCAGAACCGAAGCTCACTGAAGGCACCTGTGCTCTGTCCTGCTCCTGATGTCCTCAGGGGCTCCGGCCACCCTCCCCTTCCCGAGAAGACAGTTACAAGGGTGCCCCATGCAAAGACAGGCCAGCTCTTAGGGCCAGACACAGCCTCACTGGGCATCGGGGCTGGCGTGGGTTTATGGGGCAGTTCCTAGGGCACCAGGGCCTAGGCTGTCCCTCTGACCCTGGCCCCTCTGGTCTAGTAGTGAGTTCTGGCTCCTGAAGTCACAAAGCAGAGGTCCAGAATCAGAGCCCAGGGGACCAACGCCATGGCTTGGGCATCCTCCTGGCACCCAAGGCTTCCTGCAGCATCCCTGAGTCCTGGAGCCCCTGTGGGCTGGAGGATGAGCCCAGAGGAGCTTGGGAAGGAGGGACAGCGGAGGGGCAGGCCAGCGTTTCCTGCTGCTCAGAGGCTGGACCTCCTCTGACGGGAGGATGTGGCCATCCTCTTGTGAGAGTTCCTGCTTTGGGTGGGGTGGGGAGGGGGTACCAGTGTAATTTGGGTGCTTGGGCCATGGGGGGTGAGGTACTGCAGAGGTCGGTGTGTCCATCTGTGAAGGTCACTCAGATGAGTCTAAATAAGGCTCCAGTCACTGGAAACCATGACAGTTGGTGCCTTGAGGTGGGTGGGGCCATCCTGCCATGCCCCTCCCCCCACCCTGATCTCAGCTTGCCCACTCCCCCTTGACCCCACCCTGATGCTCTCCTTGGGGAGCCTTCCCCGCCCCCTCAAGGCCCACACAGGGCCTGTGCATACCCTGGAGCCTCACTGCCTGGTGTCCATGCTTGCAGCTTCTGGGCCCGGGCCCTCCATGGACTAAGAGGAGAACTGAGGGCAGAGTCAGCGCTGAGCCTGGGCACAGCCCCAGGGAAATTTCTGGAATGAGTAATGTGATAGGAGTCCTCACCATGCAGGTCGCTCCTCTGTGGGATGGACGGGCAGGCAGGGAGGCACGGCTGGTCCTGACCCACATCCTGACTGAGCTGGACTCAGCCAGCCGGGGCCCTGAACTGCCTGCTCCCTGGGGTTCGAGAAAGTGCTCAGAGGGCAGGCAGCCTCGCTCACCACGTGTCCAGAATGTGCTTGCCTCCCCTTGTCTGTGCAGAAGGCCCTCACAGATGGGCCATGGCTGGGTTTGGTCACTGCTCCTTCCTCCAAGTGGGAAACTCACTGGATTTCACTTGGCCCCGCCCCCACCGTGTCACTCACAGACGCTGCATTTCCAGCTCCCCTGGTACAATCCAAGTCCTGGCCAGGTCTGGGCCATGTGTGGGCCCGGGGGACACAGGGGTGGGGCAGGAACTGGGTAAGGTGAGGCAGAACTCAGCTAGCCTCACCTTTTTCTGTCTCCTGCTGGCCCCAGGGACACCAGAATTTGCCACCCCTGGCCCAGATCCTCTCTGAGAGGGGACCTCAAAATTCACATGAAACCTTTTGTACTTCCCGGTGCGTGGCCAGTCATTCCTGCCCTTGGTTGTCCTCTCGTCCTCACCCTGACAGACAGGCTTGCTGTGGGCGCGACACTCAGTTCTGACGTGTCCTCCAAAGATGGGTCATATGAAGGGCAATCGGGGAAGAGGGTGAGAGGCCACAGAGGAATGTGGTGCCCCCTGTCCCAGCCCTCTGGCTCCAGGCTGCCAGTCCCGCCCCAATCAGCTCTGGCATCTGCCTGTCTTCCCACCCCTGTCTGTACTCTTGGCGACTCTGCCCTGGGGACCGGCACTCTCCTGCACACCCTACAGACATCTCTCCCGAAGGAGAGGGGCGGTTCCTGCCTGTGGCTGTGGCTCAACTGAGAGACCGTTTGGTTCGCAGCCTCTAAGGGTGCGTCTCCTGCAGGTGCCAGACAGGAAGCAGGCTGTGCATTCCTCCGTTGAACCAAAATACAGCCCTGCTCAGGACAGTGGCTGGGGCACTGGCTCCAGCACCGCCCAGAACTGCTGACTGGGGCCAAGGCTGACTGTCCTCCTGCCCGATGGGTGGGCACCCAGGCCCCTGGTGTCTGTGTTCCCCTGGCCATCTGTCCATGCCTGAGGCCTGGTTTTGGGACAGCAGTGGAGACCCTGTAAAGGGGTGGTTGGATCAGGGAAGACACTGGAAGGCTCACAGTGGGGGACACTACCAGGTCAGCCTCTCAGGGTCACCCCAGTGGACCCCTGGGCATATGTGCTGCAGGAGAGAACTCTCACTCCCTTCCCTCTCCATCCAGCTCTTGGGGCCTCTCTTTGCCTCTGGCCCCCTGCCTAGAGGACCACAGGGGGCTATCAGCCCTGGTTGGTGGGAGGAATCCAGACTGTGGTCAATCCTGAGAGGTTCCTTGGGATAGAACCCACCTGCATTCATCTATTCCAAGGGTTGCCTGAGGATGATGCTAGGCATGCTGTGGGGGCCCATCCTGGGGCAGGGGTACGGGGGTGACTCATGAACCCTGCCCTCTGTCCCTTGCTTTCATGGGGGTGGCTAAAACGAAATCCCAGACACTGCATTGCAATGAAGAAAGGAGCTTGGGGCGGGAGGAGCTCTGCTTGGGTGACTGGAACTTGGAGCTGTTAGGGCCTTAAAATCCTGCTGAGCACCTAAACGTAAGCGCTAAGGCTATACGACTCTTAGAAGAAAACACTGGGGGAAATCTTCATGGCCTTGGATTTGGCAACTATTGCTTAGATATGACACCAAAAGCACAGGAAACAAAAGAAAAGAAAGACAAATTGGAAAAATTAAAAACTTTGTGCTTCAAAGGATGATATTGAGAGTGAAAAGGCAGCCCAGAGAATGGGAAAATACTTGCAAATCTGATATTAGATTTAATGTCCAGAATACATAGAGAACTCTTATAACTCAACAACAAACCCCCCAAACACCTTAATTTAAAAATGGGTAAAGGACTTGAATAGGCATCCCCAGAGAAGATACATGACTGCCCATGAAAAGATGCTCAACAGTGCTTGTGACGGGAAACGCCAATCAAACCACAGTGATGCCTCTTCATCCATCAGGGTGGCTGCTGTCACAACCCCAGGAAATAACAGTGTCAGGAGGGTGTGGGGAAACTGGAGCCCTGAGCAGTGTTGGTGGGAATGTAAATGGTGCAGCTCCTGTGGAAAACAGTAGGAAGTTTCCTCAAAAATTAAACGTAGAATTCCCATATGATCCAGCAATTCCACTTCTGGGTATACACCCAAAAGAATTGCAAGCAGGGTTTCGAAGAGATATTTGCAAACCCACGTTCACAGCAGCATCACTCACTACAGCTAAAACATGGGAGCAACCCCTGTGTCCACGGACGGATGAAAGAACAAACAAAATGTGGTGCATCCACACAGGGAACATTAGCCTTAGAAAGGAAGGGAATCATGACACCGGCTACCACATGCATGTAAGTGGAATCATACCATCTCCATCTTCTTCTGATTGGCTGATTTCACTCAGCACATGTCCTCAAGGAGCTCCTCTTCCTCGCATATGTGAGGTCCTTGGAGGATCTGAGTCATAGAGACAGAAGGTGTGATGGTGGGTGCCAGGGGTCGGGGCAGGAGCTGGGGAGTTTGTGTTTAATTGAGACAGGGTTTCATTTTGGGAAGAAGAGCTCTGGAGATGGGTGCTGATGCTGGTAGCACAATGTTAATGTCCTGATGTCACTGAATTGTACAGTTAAATGATAAGATGACAAATTTTCTTATGTTTATTTGTCACAATAAAAAACCCAAATATTCCAACCCTGCCTGCAGCACCAGGGGCTGGATCTTCTCCCACACGTGGCAGCCACAGCGGAGGTCTAGTGGGTTCCCGAGTTCAGGCTGTGCGATAGATTCCACCCTCCGGGGGAGGGTTGGGGGGAGCTCCAGTCTGGCCCTGTGCTGACTGAATGGCCCCTGGCTGCTCTGTGTGGCCCCACTCAGGGCCACGCCCACTTGAGCCCCTTCTCCACACCACCCTTTCCCAGCCCCGTGCGGAGGCCCCTTGGAGCTTTCCTGTCCCCATAGGCCCCTGCCAACCCCTGTCCTGGCTGTGGCTGCCGCTGGTCTCCTTCCTGCTTTGCAAATTTCCACGGCTCAGCTGTCTGCTCCTCACTTGCTTCTGCCAGGGTCCGAGGGCAGGCACCTCCCCGAGGACAATGCTGGTCGGCCACATACCTGCTTCTCCTTCGGTGGCCCTGAGCGTCTACAAACACCTGGACAGCCCCCGCCAGACAGACTTACCCTCACAACCCCAGCCCATGTTCTGTAAGGAAGGGTCTTCCTGCTTCACCAGCCTCTCCATTAACCTTAGGGTGAGTTGTCCCGGCACCTCCTTCCACACCTAGTCCTGCCTGTTTCCTGCCTTGAAGGAGCGGCAGGGGTGGAGGAGATGGGCACGCCCAGGAGCTGGGTCTCTGTGGGAGGAGGAGGCAGGCCAATGCTGGCTGTGTCACATCGGGGCCTGGGACTCCTCCTGGGGGGGCTGGCTTACCCTCTCAGCAAGCCCTTCACCACGTAGGGATTTTCACTCTTCACCGGGTGCTGAGACGCGGGGGTTTGGGTGGAAGGCCCCTCCCGCCCTCTTGCCAGCACCTCTGGGAATTCCTGAAATACAGGATCTGTGCTCTCGCCCTGAATTACGTGGAGGTGGAAGCTGGACAAACATGCAATCGAAGTTGTTGTGTGAACCTCGAGCAATCCCCTTCCTGAGCCACCAAGGCCCCAATGGAACGATGGAACGCGTCCGATATGCCCACACCGGGTCCTCCTCTCCTCAAACACCACACTGCCCCGCCGGGCTCTCAGGGTGGTGGACCTGGGCTGGGGCCTGCAGGTCTCTGGCCAAACGCTTCCCAAATGCTTCTCCTGTGCCAGCAGCCCCGTCCTCCCTGCTCTGCCCTGCCTGGTCCAGGTGCAGCTTATGACCATCTTCCTGGCCTTCACCTGTCCACAGCTCCAAGGCCTTGTCCGAGTGCCTGTGGCCACCTTCATGTGGGCTCCAGGACACACTGAAGACCATTCCCCACCCAGGGAGACAGTGTCTGACAGTGGGACCCTCTGATTTTGTCCCCCTCCCAACTGCCAGTGCTCACAGGGCCACTCCCCTCCCCTCCTCCCCTAGCCTAGCGGGGAGGACCCCTGCTCCACTGTCTCCTGATGGGCAGCTGGTGGGGTGTGGAGCTGGAGCTTGTCCTGACTCAGAGCCCTGGGCGCTTTGGGTAGACAGGGGTCCATTCATCCCCTGGGCAAGTTCAGAGACAGTTGTAAGATTCCTGAGAAAGTGGAGGAACGTGAGAATCCCGAGAACCCCGAGAATCCCACTCTCAGACAAGGGAAGCCACTACAGGAACAGGACCCAAGCCTGAGAGTCAGGATGAGGGTTGCAGGGCCAAGTCCCCTGCAGCCACGCCCCTCCCTCTAGGCCAGAGTCCCCTGGAGACAGGGGGGCCATGCAAAGCAGTGTGTGCAGGGAAAAGATCGGGATGCAGGTGTTATGTGAGGTCCCAGCAGCAGCCCTGGGGGAGGGGCAGAATGCTCTGGGCAACCCCCAAGGACAGGGCTGGGCCAGTTTTGAGGAGGGAAATGTCTTGTTTGATTGTGTCGTGGGCTCCCGGGTCAGGTGGGGAGCTCCCCGTCCTAGGAGGCATGGAAGCAGAGACCCATTCACTGGGGCTGCAGCTCCACAGAAGGGCTTCCAAGCACCAGGAAGTGAGTGCCTTGGATCCGGTTCTGCCCACAGCTCTGACTCAGGCACACGATCTGACTCAGGCACGCAGCTCCCGGGTGGGCTGCGGGGGTGAGGGGGGCATGTTTGCGATAGCTGTCAGCCTTCTCCATGGAGCTGTCTCCACGTTTGGTGTTTACAGAAGCTCCAGGG